AAAAAAAATACATTAACATTTTACTTAAATTAAAAAAAAAAAAAAAAAATAATTTTAAATTTTATTTGTATTTCATTATCGTAACAAAAAATACGCCAGCTGGAATCATTATATTCAAATTAATACTACTGTTTTATACATAAATTATTTTTTGACCTGGCACGAAATTGCCCATATAAGATATTTAATAATAAAATTAAATATTTTTAAAACAACCTTTTTAAATACAATTTTATTAATTTTCATATATATAGCTTTGGAGATTAATTATTCTAATTATAGGTACTTTTTTAGTTATTAACACTAGGTCTTTCTATGACCTTTATATGATATTAATATTCTTAAGTTCTTGAAAGTGTATAACTCCTTAATTAGAAGAGAGCGAACAAAAAATAGTATTGCAGTATTAGTGTTAAAAGCAATATCCCGTTTAGGGTCGTTAAGGTGTTTCTATCGTTAGTGACTATAAATAATTTTAAAAATAATCCATGACTTAGTAATTTCAGATCTTTATAGACGTTTAATTCCAAGTTATTTAAAAAATGTTCATGAAAGGAAAGGTTTTTATTGATTCAAAACAATAAATAAATAAATTAATTAATTTTAATTTTTTTTTTTAGAAAGCAGTAGCTAATATTGTACCCCCTATTAAAATACTTCTAACCGAATTAAAATATAAAAAAGGGATCGTCTTATTTCATCACGCGGTTCCATTAAAAATGTCGATTATTTGCAGAAAATGTCAAAACTGGATCTGACCGTTTAAACTTTGGTGGGAAATGTATTGATCATAAGAGAATCCTATTTTTATTGCTTCCTAAAGTATAACAGGTAATTTCAATAAATACAAATGTATGTATATTCAATATTAATTATAACATTATTTTTGTTTATTTCGTTGAAGGATTAATGCGTTCCAAAATATAACTCTTACAATTTGATGGATTGATCATAAAATTTATGAAGAACTACAAAAATATTTTAGAGTCCAACGTTTTATAATTTTTGGAAGTATACCAGTCAACAGTTGGAATATTAATATAGATTTCCTGAAAATTATCTTATTATAAGGTAATAATTCTAAATTGTTGATACATATGTGCATTAGACCAACTCACTCTGTATGGAAAGCAAAAACGTGTTTTTGTTACCCCTCTCAAAATTTACTTTGCTTTGTTTTATGATGATTCCCAAAATATTTTAAGTCTCGCGATGATAAATAACCGTCTGCTTATAATTGTCATACTCCAAAAAATATATAAAATTGTTAGGTTTTTCACTAAGAAAAATAAAATGTATGCACAATTTTGCAAATTTTACGCACCACTAGACTTGTCTTTAAAAACCCTTTCAAATGATACCACATACTGTATATATTGTTTAAGAAATGCTGTATAATTTACTAAAAAGGGACTTTTTTGTAACTGGTTCAGCTCACGAACGGCCATCGATAGACTAGAAATATTTTGGGAACCATTATAAAACATAACAAAGATTTTTTGAAGCTGGGTAAAATATTGAATTTAACATGAAAAATCGTGTTTCCATACGATATTTTCTTTAAAACTGTCCAGCACACGAATGGACAACACTTAACCGAAAATATTTTGGGTAACATCATATTACATAACAGCGAATATTTTGAGGGGGTAACTCAAGCACCATTTTTTGCGAGTCGGTCTAATATACATATATTACTTTTTTTAGATTAGTTGTTAAATCAATTATTTTTTCTATTATTTTAATTTCAATTTCAATTATTTCAATAAAAACTATAAAATTTCATTTTATTTAGATTTATTTTTATAGATTTTATTTTGGTGAGTATACAAATAGAAGAAGAGAAAACTCATCTTCTAGAAGACAAGATAGAAACACTTCTAGATGATACTAAGTAGTCACTTCAAGAAGTGACTTCCTAGTCACATCTAGAAGACTTCCTAGTCACATTCCAAGAGTCATCTAGAAATTTCTTCTGCGGGTCTTCCAGAAGTATCTTCCACGTTACTCTTAGACGTTCCCCAGCTCGGCATCAGTTCTTCCCGACTGGTGACAAGAATTCTTATACTTCCGCAACATCGCTGGCGAGCTTTTAGCACGTTTGGAAGTTTCATACGGGTAACTTCCGCAATAGAAAATGTTTGTAGGGTATGTATAAGTATTTCACCAATGCAATAGTAAGTAATAAAACAAAAATAATGAAATGATGTGTAATGAAATACATACATATCAGAAAACTGCAATGGGTGATTGAAAAATATTCTCACCCTAAAAATTATTGTTTCAACAAAAAAATAAAATTTGTTTTTAAATAAATCAAATTTGTACATTTTGTTTTATGAATAAAATCATTGCTCAATTCATTCTTATCAATTTGAGTGTTTATTCGATCGACTCAAAAATTTTTTTTGATTAGAAATAAAACTCAAAAAGGCAACAATCAATGTGTGTGATTTATTGTTCAAATATTTATGAAAAACTTTGGCAGCTTTATTGCTGCAACAGTTTTTAAACATTTTGACTCTTAAATTGCAATAACTCTATATTCCTTAAAATTGCCAATAATTTGGGTAATATTGAAGACTATCCTTGCTCTGCGTCGATAATGTATACAAATCTTTACAAATTTGCACTAACACTTAATATTGGTCATTTAACATGTTTTAAAAGTAGTTTTTTCATGTCCATATATCTTAAATTTACATTAATCAGTTCAATTATAACGTTCTGATTATATTTATTAATTTTTAAATGTTTTGATTTTATTCAAAACCATATTTTTTTTCATTCAAATGTGTGAATAAAAAATTGCGTTTGAAAATTCGAATTGTTTTTTCTTTCTTTCGATTTTTTTATACAAATGTGTTGTCTAGAGAATTTTGTTTTTGTGCAATTAAAATTGATTTTTACCATAAATTTTAGTGAAATTAGTGTATATTTATAAAATTTGCATTTAATTTTAATTGTTTCTATAAAATATAGCATTTTTCAATAAAATTATCTCAAAGTATATTAATAAAGTAGCGACATCTCTTGTTGTACAACAACATCTACAACAACCACTTGTATTTTGTTTTTGGAATAATTTAAGATTGTGTCAAAATAAAATTTCCTTGAACAACAATGTGAACAAAACATAAATAAAAAATATTCCTTTTAAGTTAAAAATATTAACGATTTAATTATATTATTATATATTATACAATTTATTACACTTTTAAACTACTTTAAAACCACTTTTAATTCACTTTTTCAACTTTTCACAAATTTTAACAAATAGCAAAACACAATTTAAAAATGGCGACGTAAACAATGTTAACAATTTTCAAAACAAACTTTGACAATTTGCTTCATTTATCTAGTTTAAAAAAAATAGTCAGCTGTTCAAGTGATGCTACTTTATTAATTTACTTTCAAATTATCTATGAGTTGTCGTGATATGCATTAATATGAACAAAAAACTAACAATTTTTCTGCCGACGCTTTGCCAAGTGCTTTGATAAATATTTGTCTAATATAGACACAGGGCTATGACAGTGTTGTCTAAACAATTGTTTAGACAACGTTGTCTTGATACAAACGTCTTTTTATTGTAAAATTTGTTTAGAATTTTGTTTTTGTGCAATTAAAATTTATTCTTAAGCGCCTTGGCGACACATCAAATTGTTTGACTCAAATGGTAAGTTTTTTGTTTGGGTTAGTAAAAAAATATACCGTTAGTAAAAAACTTACCGTTTGAGTCAAACAAATTTGATGTGTGGCCGTGTCGCTTTAACATATGTATATAGCATTATTGCTGTAAAATTATCTGTGAGTTGTCGTGATAAAATCAGCATTTTGTTACTAACCCCGTGTCTGTATTAGACAACTATTTATCACGATACTTGACAAAACGTCGCAGAAAAATTGTCAGTTTTTTGTTTATGTAAATTTTACAATAAAATTACGTTTGTTATCAAGACAACGTTGTCTAAACAATTGTTTAGACAACACTGTCATAACGACGTTATAACGCTAATAAATGCCGCCTGTACCAGCTAATTTTTTATCATGATAACAATTTGACGTTTAGCAAAATAAATATTTGTCTATTAGCCCGTGTCTATATTAGACAAATATTTATTATGCTAAACGTCAAATTGTTATCATAATAAAAAATTAGCAGGTACAGACGGCATTTATTAGCGTTATAACACCGTTATGCCAGTGTTGTCTAAACATTTGTTTAGACAACGTTGTCTTGATAACAAACGTCATTTTATTGTAAAATTTGTTTAGAATTTTGTTTTTGTGCAATCATAATTGATTTTTAACATTAGTTTTAGTGAAATTAGTGTTTATTTACAAAATTTGCATTTAATTTCAATTGTTTTTATAAAATATAGCATTATTTCAATAAAATTATCTGTGAGTTGTCGTGATAATATCAGCGTTTTATTACCCCTATGTATTAACATAAACAAAAAACTGACAATTTTTCTGCCGACGTTTTGTCAAGTGCCGTGATAAATATTTGTCTAATATAGACATGGGGTTATAGACACAGGGTAATATGCATTAACATAAACAAAAAACTGAAAATTTTTCTGCCGACGTTTTGTCAACTGCTGTGATAAATATTTGTCTAATATAGACATGAGGTCACACATTGGAAGAAAATATGGATGGGAAATTTAACAGTCGTATGGCTCTCTTCATTTTTTGAAATGATTCAAAAAAGCAAATCGCATTAGATCAGAGATGTATTTTTATGTAAACACATACAAAAAAGCGAAACAGCTGTTTCCATCTTACTTTGTTATTGTTTTATACCAATCGTGTAAAGACAAAAACTATAAATCATACGACCTTTATTTTTTTTTGTCATACGGATGGAATTTAATTTTTTCATTAGAATTGTCGTTCGTAAAGTCTGATTGTCTGAAGGGCCCTTAACTAAAGACGTTCAACTTGAGGTTTACCTGTATAAATATGACAAATGTGTAAACCAAGGCATATACAATATGTATATGTATGTATACAAATGTGCCTTAGTATAAACACTTGTTCAAAAGATATTTTTATAATGAATACGTTTTTGCAACAATCCCTCAATATATTATATTTTGAGAGAGAATTTGTTTATTTTGAGGGGATTTGATCCTGTCACCGTAATGTTAAAATATAATATAACAAATATTGTGCCTTTATAAAATACCAATTAACTAAGAATCTTTAGCTGATAGTAATGCTACATAAACAATGTCTTTATCAAAACTGTTCCCTTGTTTTCAATTTCGATTGGAGGATAATATAAATAAATTGGACTACAGCAATAATATATTGTCAGAAGGATTTCCTCAAGTGTGGCAATATGAGAGAACTTTGGAGGAATTGAATGTAATGTCAACTCGGATCAACTATTTTCCGCCGCAATTGTTTTATTGTCAAGGACTAAAGGTTTTATTAGCTAATAACAATAACTTAGAAAGCATTCCCGAAGCCATCGGATCTTTACGACAGTTACAGCAATTAAACTTAAGTAGAAATTTTATATCAAACGTTCCGGACAACATAAAATCCTGTAAGCATTTAACACACTTAGATCTCAGTTGTAATACCTTGCAAAAATTACCGGATGCAATAACATGTCTGATTTCATTGCAAGAGCTTATATTAAACGAAACATATTTGGAGTTTTTGCCTGCAAATTTTGGGCGTTTGGTAAATTTGCGAATAGTAGAACTACGTTCAAATAATTTAATTACATTACCGAAATCTATGCAGCGTTTGACAAATTTACAACGCCTTGATATTGGATGTAATGAGTTTACCAAATTGCCGGAAGTCATTGGCGAATTAAAGCAATTGCGCGAGCTTTGGTTTGATTTTAACCAAATTCAAGATTTTCCAAATCAGATTGGAAAATTACGGGAGCTAGTACATTGTGACGCAAATGGTAATTGCTTGAGTTACTTGCCACATGAAATTGGAAATTGTCGTAGTTTAGAAGTTTTATCAATTTCAATAAATAATTTAACAGCTCTACCCTTTAGCATTGGCATGCTCAAGTCGTTGGTGACATTAAAATGTGAATCGAATGAATTGACCGAATTGCCTAGTAGCATATCTAATTTGGAAAATTTGGAAGAATTAGTTGTGAGCCACAACAAACTGGTTCGTTTGCCAAATACAATAGGAATGTGTAGAAAATTGCGGTATTTATTTGCTGATGATAATAATTTGAGGAAATTGCCTGATGAAATATGCTCTTGTTCCCTACTTAGTGTGTTAAGCATTAGTCGGAATGAAATAGCTGCCTTGCCCGATAATATAGGGCACTTAAGGAATCTCAAAGTTTTGAATATTGTTCAAAATAATATCGCTACTTTACCTGTGACGCTCTTAAGTCTAGTGAATTTAACATCTTTGTGGATTAGCAATAATCAATCTCAACCTCTAATACCACTACAGTATGCAGACATATCAAAAAAAACTAAGTTGACTTGTTTCATGCTACCTCAGTTAGGTATAAAGCAACCACCGGCTGAATGCAATAACTGGATGAGTATAGAAGACAACGTTGTTGAAGAGCAATTTTCAAAAGATGCAGCTATATCTAAACGTCGAATATGGTTTGCAGAAGAAACAACAATATTACATACAATTCCAGAAATAGCGAAGTTACCCTTGACAACATCGACGTCAAAATCGTATAGTAATGACAAAATTTTGTTATCATGTGCTAATACATCCAGCAATTCAGCAACAATAAATAAAGATCTAACTTCTGAAAACTCAAAGATAGAGCGTGCTTCTAATTTTAAAGACTTTCTTATGCGGTCACCCACTCCATATCCTAAGGAATTACGTTTAATGGCAAAATATGTTCATGATAATAATGTTAAAACTGCTAATAATGGCAATAATCAGAACCAGGTAATTTTGTTTGATGAAAATATATCGGATGACAAAGCCTCAACATCTTTACCACAAAGTAAAAGCAACAATTTCGTAAACTGTCCTGAATATTGGAGCTCCAATACATATAAAGAGCAGCCGTTAGGTAATATATCTGAGAATGATAAGCATAATATCCAAGTCAGAAGTAATGTTAGCCATGGAAGCATAAAGTCCTATATACAACAGCGACAAAAACAGGACACAGAAATAGAACAAGATTTGCAAAAACATACAGAACACTCAACCAATCTTTATCAACAATTTGTTACTGTAGATAATATTCCAAAACCACCTCCTTATCATATAGCACGATGTTTCACAAAAAAAAGTGTTGACGATCTAACAAAGTACGAATTTGTACGAAAACGTCAGGAGCAGAACCATAATTTTCGGAATTATAAAGATATGATTGACGACAATAGCCAACTTTGGCTACAAACAGATACTATTTCTAAAAATATATCAAACAAATCTGAACATAAATTTGATTTTGTAAATAATTTAATGATTAAAAAAATTGAACAGAAAGAAGAGGCAATCAAATCTGAAGAAGAATTTAAAGGTGCTGAAAGTACTATGACGTCCATTAACAGCAAAAATGAATTATTGGAACCAATAAACACGTTACAAACATCAAATATTTTTGAAAAAACAAAAAACAGATCGAGAACTAAATGGCTTTTTGGCGCCCATAGAAATCCAAGAGTTATACAAGTAAATATAAATTTGGAAAGTGGAAGAGATTTTGAAATTGACACTTTACCTAACAAAGAAGGAATATTTGTTGTCTCGACGTTTTCAGAATCAAGTGCATCCCAATTAATACAACTGTTTGACAAGCTTCTTGAAGTTGACGGTGTCGATTTTACAAATATTAGTGTAAATGAAGCACGTCAAGTATTAGACAATTCTCGTCCTTCAAAATCTATAATGCTTTCTCGTAAATAATACATTGTATAAAATATATTAAAATATTTAAAATAATTAAATAGTTTTATTTTTTATTACAACAAAGAAAAGTAAGGCGACATACATATATTAATTAGTCTGAAATATTTACTCCGCAATTAAACATGCAAGTTTTTCACACAAACTAATTGTCAAAATTCATTTGAAATTCTTTCTGTGACGTAGATTGCAGGCAATTTTAGAGCAATTTTACTTTTCAAGATGTCATTGTCTTTACATATATGGGCAATTTCGTGTCAAGTTGAACTTTTAACAAGTGAGAGTGTTATATTCGGCTGTGCCGAATCTCATATACCCACCATCAAACCGTATGTCTTAAAAGGATATTACATATTAAATTAACTGATGAGGACCTTATATGAGAGATAGGGTTAATAATTGACCATTTTTCATAAAAAATTTTTAGACCAATTTTGGTTCATACAAAGCATCTTTACATCGAATATCACTTAACGACACTTTCCGCATGAAATTGGGTAGGGAGATTTATGTTCCTATAAATGTTTTTTATATAAAATTTCATAACTGTTCACGTATTTTAAGTCAGCAAAGATCGTTAACATAATTTTCTTATGGACCGTTCCTCAATACATCCCAATAAACATCGATTCAAACCTGTGAATATTTTTGAAAATTTTCTTAACTAAATAATGTATTTTCCAAATTGTTTTCAAATTTTAAAGTTTAGCCTTTGAAATAAACATGATAATTTCAAAAAACGTTTAAAAAAATATAATGTGTGATATTTATAAAAATTTCAAAGTTTTGATTTAATTGAACTTAGAAAAGTTTCTTTCAAAAAATAAATTATTTTAGAAAAATAAAAACAGAACATTTTTTCTACAGCAAGGGAGCGAAAAAACGTTAAATATAGGAGAAATAATCGGAGATATAAAAGAAAAATATGTTAAAATAAATATATGAATGTTTTATTTTCAGGTGATGTAAAAAAATATATGAATTTTGCAATAGTTAGCATTATAATTAAGGTTTGAAATATGTATGAAAATAATAATAAAGAATACTTGAAATACGTTTGAAAATTTTTTTAGTTTCAAGCTTACCTCTAGCATTTTTTTAAATTTGAAATACATTTGAAAAATACGTTTGATTTCTAACTGCCTTTTTGTTTGAGAAGGCCATAATTTTCCATTTGAAAACAAAAATTTTCAAATTTGTTCTCAAAGGCTATGTATGAAATTTGAATAGGTTTTCAAATACATATTTACATCATTTTCAAACGTATTTCAAGTATTCTTTATTATTATTTTCATACATATTTCAAACCCTAATTATAATGCTAACTATTGCAAAATTCATATATCTTTTTACATCACCTGAAAATAAAACATTCATATATTTATTTTAGCATATTTTTCTTTTATATCTCCGATTATTTCTCCTATATTTAACGTTTTTTCGCTCCCTTGCTGTAGAAAAAATGTTCTGTTTTTATTTTTCTAAAATAATTTATTTTTTGAAAGAAACTTTTCTAAGTTCAATTAAATCAAAACTTTGAAATTTTTATAAATATCACACATTATATTTTTTTAAACGTTTTTTGAAATTATCATGTTTATTTCAAAGGCTAAACTTTAAAATTTGAAAACAATTTGGAAAATACATTATTTAGTTAAGAAAATTTTCAAAAATATTCACAGGTTTGAATCGATGTTTATTGGGTTATGTGTGTTAAATTTTATCACTATACTCGTATTTTTAAGCCAGTAATGACCGTTAAAGTAATTTTCTGAAGGGGACCTTATATGGGGGGTAGGGTCAATTATGGACCGATCGACATAAAATTTGATAGAGAAGTTTTTGATCATAAGAGACTTACTTATGTCAAATTTCATTGTTATACTAGTATTTTTAAGCCAGTAATGAGTGTTAAAGTAATTTTCTGAAGGGGCCTTATATGGGGGGGGGATGGTAAATTATGGACCGATTCTCATAAAATTTGGTAGGGAGATTTTGGATCATATTGAACTTATTTATGTCGAATTTCATCTCTATATTCGTACTTTTGAAACAGGTATGCCCATTAAAGCTGTTTTTCGGGGGTCCACTTGTATGGGGTCTATCCGAAAACGTGGACCAATATTGCCCATTTCAATACCAAACAAACCTTACCTATAGAGAATATTTTTGGAAAATTTCTATCTCGCTCCGTTCGGACTCTATCGTGCTTTCAACAGACAGACGGACGGACAGACATGACTAGAATAAAAAAAAAAACACAAAATAATTAGATTTCAGACGTTTTTTTATTAAAAAAGTTTAATTTATTTGCAATAATTTGCTTAAGTTGTTATTTTCTTAAGAATATTTTATGTATTTATTTTTTCGACTCTTAAAGTTTGTTGGCGAGTATTTAACAAACTCAAATTACCAGGTTATCCCACGTTGGTTGGAAGAGAGCCCGCTAATCGACCTATACCTTCATATAGGAAGTTGGAGCCCGTAACAAATTATAAATCCAAAGTATTGTATGGTCTCCACCAGTTTAAATTAATATAACCTCAAACAAATATACAATCAGCTGTTCCAAACAGTGATTGCAATTGAGAAGCTCTTTTTTTAAATGGTTAAGGTACCAAAATTAAAAAAATATATATTTGAAAACGTTTAAGCGTTCTAATCCAGTTGAATACACTATATGATAGCACTTCTTCCTCTGAGTATAAAAGTGAAAAATATTTATCTGCTCTATTCAGGTGCAGGAGTTATAGGCCTTCAAATTCGTGATATATAATTGAACATGTCTCGGCTACTAATTATTATATATGGTCAACATAGATATCAATAGAAAGGTCTCAGATTGATGAAAGGTCTCGATTGATAAACAATATTACATACATATTAAAAGACTTAAAACTTTTGCCTTTTTAAAGAAACGCGTCTTTTTATTACAAAGGTTTAAACGAAAGTCTTTTTATTAATATGAAAAATTATTTTCAATGAATATCAAATTATGACAATCAATTCAAAGTAAAAAAAAGTTCGAGTATCAGGATAATGCTACTAGGTTTAAAATACAATTAAATAAAATAATAAAGTTATAAAATAATTAACAAGGGTTTCTCATAGTCAACTATCCTGCATTTAAAGCGTCCTCGCTTTCATCATCAGGAGAATCATATTCGATATCATCATCAAATATAGGCGGCAATTCCCAACAAGTTTTCAATTTGTCTAAGGCATAAACTGACTAATAATGATGTGTTGTTCTTTTTGAATTCGGAAGGTCTTCGATAATATGTTTATCTTTATCAAGAACTTTCGACACTATAAATGAGCCATTGTAACGGGGCTCTAATTTACGAGACATACCACTACTTTGTGGTTCGTTTTCAGCAAGTACTAGTTCATCAACTTTGTATTTGTGAGGAATGGAAAGTTCTTTGTCGTATTGATCTTTTGTTTGTTTTCGTTTCTCATTAATGTTTTCTGTCCTTTATTCTTCATTTCATCTTCAGTAACATGATAATTATCGTGAACTGCTAGTAGGATCTTGTTTTGTAAAATATCTCTTGGTGAATAATAAAATAGTAGGTCTGAGGACTTTTGCAAGAAGTTTTATTCTTCATTGTGTTTAAAGAAAATTGAATATTCGTTAAATGTTCATCCCATCGTTTATCACTCTTTGTAATAGGTAAAAGCATCGAGAGTAAAGTTCGATTTGTTCTCTCAGCATGACCGTTGGCTCTTGGAGTTCTAGCAGCATTAAGTACATGATTGATATCATTATCCGAACAATATCTCTTGAATTCGTTTGAGGTAAAAACGGTTCCTCTATCCATTATTATACGTGTTGGAACGCCAAAATAACTCGAAAACTCATTTAAAATGCTTATAACGTACCTGTTTGCAGTACTCTTGACTGGTCTAATTAGCGTAAATTTAGTAAAGGAATCAACCACAATTAAAATATGTTCATTACGTTTACTGCTTTTAGGAAAAGGTCCCAGATGATCCAAGTGAATTGTGTGAAATGGTACACAGAGGGAAAAAGAAATATACACGCTTGGTACCAAATTGGCACCAAAGAGTTTGTAATTTTTCAATAACAACCGTTGTCAAAGTATATACATACGTACGACAACACTATGTCGCAACGTTGTCAACATTGCAACAATTCGTTGTCGAAATCTAAATTTTTTACACATACGTTGTCTAAATGTTAACAAACGTGGTAAGTTCACTATTGCAAACAATCCGTTGCCAATAGTGAGCTTACCACGTTTGTTAACATTTAGACAACGGATGTGTATAAAATTTAGATTTTGACAACGAATTGTTGCAATGTTGACAACGTTGCGACATAGTGTTGTCATACGTACGTATATACTTTGACAACGGTTGTTATTGAAAAATTACAAACTCTTTGGTGCCAATTTGGTACCAAGCGTGTATATTTCTTTTTCCCTCTGTGTACAGGATCTATATCATTAGAATGGTATTCAGCTTCCATACGACCACCTGTGTTTTTATTGTCAGCACATTCAACACATGCTTTAATATACGACTTGACAAAATTTCTCAATCTTGAGAACCACACATAACTTAAAAGTTTATCAATCGTTTTTTCAACACCAAGATGTCCATTAGAAATAATTTGTTTTATTGAATCGTCTTGGATTTGCATTATAGATAACCAGTCGTCGCCGTGTAGATTAACTTTCTCTATTTTAAGAGTAGCGACATCTATGTATATCACAGAGTGGGGCAGAATGGAAATTTTTTGGAAATAAATCTGGCATTTCTAAACGGCTGATCCGATCGCGATAAAATTTGGCGTGAGCGTAGCCAAGGAGTATTCGAGTTTAAGTTTTGAAGATGAACCCTGCAGATGCCCCAGGGACGGCTCAAAGTAGAGTACCTACGACATGTAAAATTTTTAAACTCGTGCCATTTTTTTTTCACCCAAATACAAAGATTTTTATATTTTGTGAAAGCGCTCGACGAGATCTTGAAAAAACATGCTTGAACATACTACTTATCTCTTATAATATCCGAG